AAAATGAAAACAATTAATTTTTCTACAGAAAAAGTTTAGTTCGATTGTTTAAGAGAAAATACACATTTTTCATCTTGATTTGCTTTAATTATAGCTCGAATAATTAATATTGATTTATTATTTAAATCTTGAGTAATTGTTATATTAATTGATGATCGATTTCTTATTATCAATGTTGTATTACGATATCCATTATTAATAGTTAATTTAACTGATACAATTTGTTTATCTTTTCGATTTGAAATAGTTACATTCACATTAACATCTTGTCCATATGTTGGTGTTTGTCGAGTAGCTGTTATAACACTAATTATAGTAAATTTGACATCAGGATCATTTCCTAAACTTATTTTTTGTTCATTCTGTTTTGGTGTATCTGCTAAACGACCTTGACCTAAAGTTATACCTGTTGTTGCTAAATAAAATGTTATTGTACCAGCTGGTAAAAATTCCGATGGTCGTATAATAAATGTACGTTGAAATAAACCAGAATTCGTACCAGCTGATAAATATATTGTTGTTTCAAGTGTATAATTAAATGATATCATAGCTGATAGAAATGGAAATGTTTTAATAGATTTTGGTAGAAGATAAAATTCACGTATTATATTATATGAATAAGTACCAAAATTTGTTGAATCTGGTGTAGATGATATTGATGAAGATGTATCAGTCATAGCACCTGCTAAATATTCTACACGTTGTGTATCCATTGAAGTTGGTACTCGCATAGAATTTGAAGCTAATGGAACGCTACCAGTAATCAATTGACTGTTTATAATTTCGAAGAGACGTTTATGTTCATTATTAATATCGGCTAGAGCTCGAAGAGTAGCAGCTAAAACGAAAGAAATGAATAAATCAATGACATATAAGAGAGTAAAATTTTACATTGATCATCAATAACGTTAACTTCATATCTTGGTGTCCACCAAAGACCACGAGTTAAATAAGTCATATTAGTTTTCTTTATAGTTGAATTATCTAATCGAGCAGATAAGATCATTCCATCCATTAATGGATTGTTATTAAATTCAATTTGATCACGTGACACATAAATATATCGGGATGAATTATGTTTAATTAATAATGAATAAGGATCAATTAATTTTGCTTCTGATATTTGATTATTTTGATATTTATTAAAACGAATAAAAATATTAGTATTACGTAATTCTTCATTTGAATTGTATAAATCTTGCTCAATTATTTTTTGGCCAGGAAAATCAATTGTTCCTCTATTGAATAAAAAGATAATTAAAATTTCATTAAAAACAATATGTTCGAACTCACGGTACAATAGCATTATATTCTTCATCAGTAAAATACGCTTGAAAATATCCATCTTTCAACGAAATTTCTTGTCGAACTTGACCAACAGATGTATAAAAATTAAGTTGAAGAGCACAATTTGTTGTTAAAAACGAAACAATAAGACAAATTTGAAATAACATTGACTCTTTTGTTTTTTTTTCTTTCAATAACAATCAGTTTTACATTACTGTAGTATAACAATTATTCAAAAAAGCTTCTCGTTAGTAATCTACGTAAAGTATAGATTTGATGATTATTACAACAATGATTCAATGCTTTTTTGTTGTTTTTCTATTGCAAATATACAATAATATGTATATAATAGATATATTTGTCCTTGTTTTGAAATAAAATAAAAAAGGTCAATATTTAATGCACAAGAACCCTGTTCTCCCTCCTACCTATTTACATGTTTTATTATTTAACAAAGAATATTTTCATTCTTCGTGTCGTTGAGACACAATTTTTAAAATGATACGAAATCAAAATATAAAACCTTGACACATCAATTGCTTATACGTGATGTTTGATTGTATTTCAAAATAGAAGTCAATATTATTTTTCACTGATTTTAATTAAATATATATATGTATGTATATATTTACACACTGAAAAAGAAAAATAGATGCTCAAATATGTAAACACATATTACAAAAAGCACTGGTATAAATAATAATAATTATTATAAGCAAAAAAGAAGGAAGACTGAAGTTTATTTTTTTGTATAATCTTGTATCTTCCTCTTTTATCGAACATGTAATGATGATGAATTGCGATTTGAATGACGTTTCTTTCGAGTATGATTGCCAATTGATAAACCTCTTGTTTTAGCTGAATCAACAAGTCTTTTCTATAAGTAAAAAAAAAAAGAATATGTAGAACAAAAAAAAAAAAGATCTGCTTTTCTTTTAAATCAACCTTTGCATCTAATGGTATAAATGGAATTGAATCAATGTTACAATGTACTTTTTCTCCATGATCTTTTTGTTTCATCATTATTAAAGCAATATCAATAGGTAATGCAAACCAAATCAAATGTTTATGTTTCTCTGGAACATTTAATGGTGGATCAGATCTATAATCAATTGAATTAAGTGCATGACGTACAGCATCAGCAGCAAGTTGTTTCGCTTGACGAAATGGATCCTTCAGAAATTAAAATAAAAGAAAAAGGGTTTTTTTTTTCTATTTCATTTAAATTATATTCCTTTTTTTACTGATAGAATTTTCTCTTCACGTGATGATATTGGCTCTTTTTTATTACGATAATATTGCATTTTACCAGATTTATATGTTATCTCTTCAAGACTTGATTGAGCTGATTGAAAACCATTGCGATGAGTCCATCCAGCTGTAACCGGATTATAAGTATACTAAATAGAAAAAAAAAAGAAAAATGTGATAATATATATATATATAAATTTTTTTCCGTCATTAACTAATGGAAGAAATTTCCATCCTTCTGTAGCAATAAATTTAACAGCATTAAGAACATATTCAATATCATCATTATTAGCAAAATACGATAAATTAAAACGTGTAAAACCCGGTCTGAAAAAAGAAAATTAAAAGTTTATTAAAAATAAAAATGAATTGAAAATTTTCTATTAACTTCATCATCATTGTTCGAACAATTTGATCGTTTCCTCGAGCCCTAAAAGTAAGAAAATAAGCTTTTGTTGTTTTATTTTTATATTGCACAATTGAAAAAACTTACTCTACATCTTCTGTCATAAATAAACAATAAATATCTGTTTTTGCATCATCAACATTTAATAAATCAAGTGCATATGGTCCAGCACAAGCACAACCTGATCGAACTTGTATACCAAATAAATCATTTAATAAAAGACAAACAAAATTATGATGTAAATATTTGCATACACTAGGTACATAGATAAGAAATGAAAATATAGGTAGACGTGGAGCTGTTTGTGAACCAAGAAGAATTAATGTTTTCGTTTTTTTAAAATGCCGATAAAATCGTTTTACTAATTCATTTTCACGTGCTTGCATATAATTTGGATCAATTGAATCTTTTAATTGAAAAACAAGACCAGCTCGTATACAACCAATTACATCTGGTGTACCACCTTCTTCACGAGTTTCAATATCATAATTATATTCATGACATGTACGAGTAACAAAATTAACTGTTCCACCACCGCATGCTTTAGGAGCTTTTAAACTGAATAAATACTTCTTAGCAATTAATATGCCTGAAATAAAAAAAAAAAACAGAGAAATAAACAAATTATAATATAATCAAATAAAAGCTACTTATTTTTTATCAACTTACCAGGTGTACTTGGTCCACCAACAAATTTATGTGTAGATATAAATATAGCATCTTTATAAGCAAAAGCTGATGGATTCATATTAATTTGAACATATGGTGCAGCTGTTGCATAATCCCAAAAAACCAAACCAGAATATGAATGAACAAGTGTTGATATAGTATCAACATCAGTTAAAATACCACTAACATTACTAGCAGCATTAAATGAACAAAGAATTCTTTTATTTAATTTCGAATAATATCGTAAATATCCTTCTAATACTGGTATATCAAATTCACCTTGTTGCGTTGTTGGGATTCGAATCATCTTTAAAAAAAATAAATAAAGGAAGACATATATATAGATCAAATCAAATTTATTGTCTTACTTCAACGTCTTTTTCTTTCCATGGTAAAATATTACTATGATGTTCAAATGCACTAATAATAACAACGGTATTTTTGCGAATATTTTCATCATGAAGATCAAAAGTATCAACAAGTGTATGAATAGCACCTGTTGAACCATTACCAGTAAATAATAAAACATCATTTTCATTAGCATTAACCGATTTTTTAATAATATCACGAGCTTCTTCACGAAATTTTGTTGATTGTTGAGCACATAAACTTGTTTCGCTATGTGTATTACCATATCTAGTGAAAAAAGTAAAAATAATAACAATAATAATAAAAATTCAATTCACTTACAAAGGAAGTACATGAGTTTTTATATAAGTTTCAATAAATTGTAATGGTCGACCTGATGCAGTATAATCGCAATAGATCACTGTATAATAACAAAAATAAATCAGCTATAAATAGAATGAAAAATACGATGACTTACTTCGTCTTACACCCCATGGCCCTTGAAAAACATAATCTTTACCAATAATATTTTCTTCAATGTACTGAATAAGTTTAGGTCGAGAAGAACTATTATTATGATGTTTAGTTGATGAATTATGATTTGTATTCGATTGCATAGCTTGATTAATAATAGGAAAAGAACCATTGTTATTCAATGGTGATCGATATATATCATTTGAAACTTGTTCATTTTTTAATAAATCCGATCGACCTGCTGAATATGATCGTTTTTTTAATGGTGGTGACATTGTTGCCAATGTCTTTGAATTTGCTGGACGCCACTAATAATTAATAGAAAAAAATTTCGTTTATATTTATTGATAATTTTATCAATCAACATTGAGAACAGCATTGATTATAAATGCTGCATTTCAATAAAGATTAAAAAAGAAATATCAATTAGAAAATCGATTCGAAAAAAAAAACAACAAAAAAGAAAATATTGAATCGATATTCATATTAAAATTTCTCTTTTTTTTTTGCTTGATAAAAAGCGCTATGAATACTTCTGTTATAAATATTTCTTTTTACCTCAAATTCATCTTCATCTTGACTGTAGAACCCCGCTAAATCAGATTCATAACAACTTGATGCACTATGAAGTCGTTGACGTCGATGATGACTACCTAGTGATGATTGACGTCTTGAACGACGATGACGACTTTGTCTAGGTGATTCATATGACATGGCCATGGACGGTATGGAAGTGGTACTTCCGACACTATTATTAATGTTAATATAAGACACAACATCGAGCTTCGTATTGGATGCTGAACCAATGATGGGTCGAAACACTTCTGAATTTTGTAATAAACTACTATCCATCCATGCATTTGGTGAACCTATTGGCATTATATTCATCGGACTAGAAGGCTGAATTTGTTGTTGCTTTTGTTGAACAGGAGTTGCCACTGGTGGTGAAGATTGTGGCACTAATTGATCAGTTCGATATGCTTGCGGTTGTTTTTGTTGTTCTATTGACTGTTGTATATATCGGGCAGATGGAAGATTAGGATTTGTATAACTAGGTTGCATGGAACGTAATTGATTAAATTGGTAAAACAACATATTAGCTTGTTGTTGTCGTTGTTGGGCATACATTGCCTGCTGTTGCTGTTGTTGCTGTTGTTGATGACGATGTTGCGGATGCATCGTAAATATCTGCAAATAATAAGAATATTTTAAATGAAAAGTTTTCTTGTATTATACTTATTATCATACCGGTGTAGGTGCAAATGGAAACATGTTTATTACAAAAGCTGATTATAATTTCTATCTAAAATACGATGATTGTATGTTATGTATCCTGATTGAAAATGACGATTATTTAGTTTATATTATGAATAGTGAAATTATTATTATTAGCAAAAAATACAGAAAAAAAAACAATGTAAAAATGAAACAGAACAACCTTGGTATTCTTTTCGCATCGTTTAAAGTGTTTACAAAACATATATACAAACATGAAGTACGAAAAATAGAGAGCTATATGCAATAATACCGTCCATTTTATTTCTCTTTTTGGAATGCACCGAGTAAAAAAAATATTTTGATACTTTTACAAATAATAAAATTAAGTATCATAAAAAACAAGAAAACAACATATATTATTCAGAATAATGTTTTTTTTTCTAATCTTTAATACAAAAGAATTAATCGATAGAAAAATATTTTTTTATTTATAAAAATAATATGAATATAATTTTTCATAATACATTATATAAATAACCAAGATATCAAATTATCATACCGACATTTTTTTCTTTCTTACATATGAGTATCTCAATTTCAAAAAAAAAATCACAAAGTTAATTAAGAACAAAAAAAAGAACCTTGAGTCTTAGAGTATGAGTAGGGCAGTTTTTTGTTTTCTAGTTTACATATATATAGCTCAGTACTGACGTATAAAATCGATGACGATCAAGACACTAATTAAGTCTGTCATAAAAATAAGAATGTGACAAAAATATATTTCGTATATGTAAACTATGT